CGATCCCGTTGCCGGTCCCGGTCCGGTGCGGGCGCGACACTGGGGGTTGCGATCCGTTGCCGGACACGAAAAAAAAAAAAAAAAAAAAGACAAAAAAAAAAAGGAAAAAATAAAATAAATAAAAATAAAATAAAATAAAATAATAACCTTAAACTAAAAAGTTAAATTAAGTCAAGAATATGGAAATCCCTGGTAAGGGGATCTGAACCCTTGACCACGGTGTGATAACACTGCGCTCTCATCAACTGAGCGCCAGCCTCTGGTACAGTTTTTGACCCTACTGCACTGCTCCTGTGGTCACTAGTGATGCTGCATATGTTCTGTTTGCACTTCCAGGTCCGCACTCCACCTTCTATACCCTCTTATGTGCCCCAAGAGGTCAACCAGGATGTATTTCATCAGAGGGCTCCTTTTCTATCTTTCTTCCCATTGAGATCAACCAATGAAAGCAGCAGGAGACTGAAGGGCAGGGTATTTATCACCTCTCCTCTCCCTGCTCCCCCAACTCCTTATAGAAGCATCCCAGGCTGGCTGGTTAGCTCAGATGGTTAGAGGATGGTGCTGATAACACCTGGGTCCCAGGTGTCATCCATGTAACAGCCAGTTACCAAAAAAAAAAAAAAAAAATCCCTTTACCAAAGGCTACAACAAAAAGACCCTGCTCCCTGCATCTAGCTACAACTACTGTGCCTGAGATCCTGCTCCCACCCCCTTGCCCCTTCAGGTCTAAGAATAGTAATAACCTTCCTTTGCCCTGGGATCCTTTGCCATCCCTAGCTTTTTCCTTTACCCTGCCCACACCTTGTAAAATAATCCCTTTATTAAGTTCTGCTCAAACCCCTAATTGACTGTGTCATCGGATTTTCTCCAGGGACAATGACTGACAATATAAACAAATTAATATTACCTTAAAATTGACTTTCTCTAAGGGAACATATCCTCCTACTCAGCCCCCCTTCCCCTGCCCTGGCCATAAAGTGGAGATTATTTACATTTCTTCCAAGAGGAATTTCTTTCTTTCTTTGGAGCCTGGCCAGTCCAGGGAACTGAAACCTCGACCCTGGTGTTACAAGGCTGTGCTCTAACCAACTGAGCTAAGTGGCCAGCCTCCAAGAGGAATTTCAAATCATGTCACTTACAAGCCCATGTTCACATCATCTGCTGAAACTAGTCAGGAGTCAAGGAAATTCTTATGTTTCCAACGATAGCATAGGTAGCAAGCTGCCACCTATATGTGAAAACAACTTGTAATCACCAACAGGGCTTGAGCAGGAAGCTGATGCTGAGCTACCGCCACCCCCTACAACGTTTGATACCCATTCTGGCCATTAGAGTGCTTTGGACAGAAACTGTCATTTCAGCTAGAGAAAGACTCTCTAGTCAGGGATTTGAGATCACTATTTATAGTTTTAAATTTAGAAGTACACTAGAATAAAGATAGATATCAATATAGATAATAGTTTTGTTTTGTTTTTTAAGAAGAGAGGTGTGAGACATAGCAGGCAAATTCAGGCCCAAGACTGGATTCAGTAGTTACCAGGTTCAGAGTAGGATGGAACAAGTCTCAAATTCAACACCCAATTTCCTTAATCAAGGTCTTTGTCTATCCCACTACATCCTAATAGATGATGAAGATGAAAAGTCAGTCACCATACCTGCAGCACCCACCCTAAAGAGACCCAGGAGATTTGAAGACCTAAGAAGCCAAAGTCAGGGCCAGCCCATGGCTCACTCGGGAGAGTGTGGTGTGGATAACACCAAGGCCACAGGTTCGGATCCCTATATAGGGGTGGCTGTTTAGCTCACTTGGGAGAGCATGGTGCTGACAACACTAAGTCAAGGGTTAAGATCCCCTTACTGGTCATCCATTTAAAAAAAAAAAAAAAAAGAAGCCAAAGTCAGAGGAAGCAGACTAGATCTCTAGCACAATGCCAAATGGCAAAGACAAATATTAACGAAAAAAGATCAAACTGTAAATTTCAACCCCCATTTAGAGTAGCATCCAGCTGGAACATTTAGGCACTCACCCACAAAACTTTAAACTGAGAATCATACTCTTCTTTCATCCTTCCTCCCAAAGCACAGATTTCATTTTAATTTAATGACTCCTTTAGGGTTATATAATATTCTACATTTGCTTTAGCTGAATTTTACACTCATCAAGCTAAAATCTCAAAGTTTTTCACATTTCTACTGTACAGATAAACAGTATTAAGAAAAGAAAAAAATTATATCTAAGAAAAATTTTAAAAATCATTTAAAAATGCCAACATCAGAAAAAAATAATTTTATTTCTTCCAGAGCATTTCTCTACTCTTGTACACCAATCACTAACTATACAGGGAAGTGAGCAACAAATCAGTTCTGCTTGCTGTGACAGATGAAATTCAGCTACCCAAAGGCACTAATTAAAAAAAAAAAAAAAAAAAAGAGTCCACTGCCATGATCCCAAAAGCAACCATGGTATATTTACTTCTGAAATTTATTTCAGGTGACAGGACACCCACAGACTAACAAAATAAACATAGAATTAAATAACACTTCCAAAGCCCAATTCTATTCCCTAGCAAAGGCAGCAGATGTAGTATCGGGCTTAGTCTATATCTGTTTCTACATGTTTCTCCTACCCCTTACCTCCAAATTTGAGAGCCATTTGTAACAGCAAGACTAAAACTATTTCTCACTATAAGAATATAAGACAAAATGCCTAACATGGCTATACCCAACATAGAAGGTACAGAAAGAGATTAGAAAATATAAGTAAAGATTTTAATGATATACTTCTATAGTTGGGGGAGGGGAATGGAATAAAAGGGAGTGGATGGATCAATATGAAGAAGAAAAACAAAAGAAGATTTAATTTACCTTGAAAATGATCACTATTTTATTTGTTTAGGCCCAGTGAGAATTTGTGCCAATAAATTTCATTCATTTCACAGTGCCTAGCACATTACTGACTGTGTGGTAAATATGAAATAAATACTTGTTGGTTGATGAAAAATGTACATGGCAATGCTGTGCACACACAGGAAACAGAAACTTGAGGTGGTCAGGCAAATTAGAAAGCAATGCAAGGTTTGGTTATCCTTATCAACATTTTCAAGTTATACAACTGGGGAAACAAATGAGATCAAATTCTGCCACATTCGTAGTTCAACATGTTGCTCCTCTTTGGGTGCTAAAACTTTATTTGCAAAAGAAGAGTTAAAATTAGGTTAAAATATTTTAAATTAAATATACTCAATATAATTTTAAAGACCAGCCATTTTATTGCTTAATATTTTTTCTTGAATTAAAAATCTTGCTAGCTAAGGTAGCTTACATTTTTAATAGCAATAAGGCACTTGAAATGTTAAACCCATAAGCACCTATTTGCTAGACTAAAGCTATCCTTGAACTTTTAGTGATGCCATATGCTTTTAAATTAACCTGTCTAACCCTACTGTACAAAGCTCATGACACAGATTGTTAGCTTATAACTGAATTAGGTTACTACTGAATACTCATTTTCTATAGGCAAACTACAGAAAATAAAGAAAACATGCATATTCCTACAGTACTATGAACACCAAAATTAAAGATGATATAATGAGAATTTGGGATTAAACAATTATAATTCATCTGTAAGATCTCAATGACTTACATATTTTAAGTTGACCTAAAATCTCTAAGGACCTTTTTCTTTGGGGGGGGGGGGGGGGGAATCACACATTTTAAGATAGTATTTAATGGAAGGTCTTTTAAAATCACAATGAATCATAGCTGTCAACTTCAA